ATCTGACCAGTTTGACAGCTGAAATTGTTAATGTCTTGAAAAAGCAACAGTGGTCCACTATGGTCATCAGCACCAAAACCAAAATAAAACCATAGTGAATTGTAAAAGCCCTCCGGGTTTGTATGGGTCACTTTACACTGTATACAGAGAATTGTGTAGGGAGGGAGAGAGAAATTAAAAGTGACAGAGAAAGGAGGAAATTGCTTTTTCACATTTCTTCTACTCATTACTTCCTCCTATCCCCAGCAGATGCTCTGGGTGGAGGTGTGTTGAACTCATGTTTCTCACTTGTCAGCCTTGTGGCTTCAGAGTCTGCAGATCAGCTACCACACAGAATGCACTGTTCCCCATTTACTCCACCAGCTTCGCCACTGTACCTGGATATGTGTTTCATAGTGCTTTCCTCTGGGCCTGCCTTTCACTACCCAAGAGACAAGCTGGGCTATTTTGCCATTTGACAGAGAGGGGATATTTTTTTGCACTGTTCTGAAAAGCAATCACCTTCCACCTCACTCCATTGTCTCAAGGCAGGAGGGAGCTCATGGAGAGGTCTACGTCTTTCTCAGTTTCCTTAGATAAACTTGCTAAGTGCGTTCAAGAAGGAAGTAGCTGCAACCTTCATTCTGCTTTTCCAGGAGCTTCTCCTATTTCAGAGCAAGCCAGTCATACATACCTTGTAACAGAAGCCAGACATCTTAACAGACTTGCTAATCACACTCTTCTGCTTGCTTGTCTCCTAGGAATTTCTACTGTACTGCTCTGTAATCCATGCACCATCACTCACATTGAAAGACCTCTGACTGTAAAAAGACAGCCTGAGTGGTTGCTAATGGAAAATCATGGAAGAAATTACCAATAAAAGGCAACACATTATAGTGCTTGCTATCTCCCTGAATACCTTGATGTATATTGATGGGACTAGTGCCCCCATTTCAGCTCTCTCTAAGACTGACATGGACACACTGCCAAGAGGATGCTGGAGCAGAAGAATAACAAATGCATCACAGGAAGACATGCAAAACAGACATTGTCAGAGGGACCATTTTGTCATGTGGGTGCAGGGCAAAGTCGCACAGGTCACTTTCTGCTGCTTAACAACAGCTCTGCTCTGCAGCCAGTGAGCCACTGCAATTACTCTCTTAGTTTAATAAAAAAATATTTATTTACTTAGTAACTATACATATAGCCACCTAAGAAAGGAAAGTTATTTCTAGAAAATTTTGTGGTTGGCATAGCAATTAGATATGATTCCTTCAAAATGTTTTTGCTTCACCTACAGCAAAACTGAGCTCCATTCTCTTATTCTGTCTGAGGTTCATGTTCAATTCACTATGTGTTTGTATTTTGTGAAATGTAAGGTTATATTCCATCACCAGTGGAACATGAAGGGTGTTGCTTTTTTAGGCAATCTATTCTTAATTCTGTAAGCCATGGTTTATTAGCTGAAGTAAGCATAACACACATGACTGACAGCAGTAAAAGCATTAGTTGAAATCAGCTTGACCCTGGGTTTAGTTTTAACCAGATTTAACAAAGACAGATAGTTTAGACTGGAAATGGGTAGGAAAAAAACAAAAGAATGACATTGATTGGAGTGTTAAATCAAACTGCTTCTTCTGTCCCTGAATGAAAAGGAAAGCAAGTTTTGTTGCAAGTCCCTTGTTTGTCTTCAGTAATGTAACATTTTGTGGAAGAGATGCAAGGGAATGGAATGTTATGAACAAAACAGCCTGGCTGGGACACTTGGCTTGGGCTAAGTACTGACATTGAAATGTTAATTAGCTAATTGCTCCTGGGAATCACCTACCGCCCCACCCTCACTGCCATTCTAGGACTGGGATGCAAAATAATCCAGTGGAATCATGGGAGGAGGTTTTGGGGATGAAAAACACCCCTAAATGGAAGGCTGGGCACAGTGGAGGGGGCTGGATGGGTGTGCTCGTTGGGGAAAAGGGAACCCCATCCCTAGTCTGTGTTTGATCTGTCACCATAACCTGCAGAGGACCAGACTGGACTGGGGTGTGGAAAGCAGGAGCAAAGCACACACATACTTCCCGGTGTTACCAGGAGGGAAAGCGAGGGACAGCTGCTGCTGGACTTCAGCAGCAGGCTCTGCACATCCCCTCACTCTTCGGCTACCAGTGTGCCAGGAGGAAAGGAGAGAGGACAGTCTGCTGGGACTTCAGATACAGACTGCACACCTCTTCATCTCCAGCTACCAGTGTGCCACGGAGACTCCAGGGACAGACTCTGCTCGCCTGCTCACCCTTTGGCTACTGGGAAAAAGCTACAACAGCGGGGGCGAGCTCCTTGTTGAGCCCCTTGCCGAGCTGACTTTTTAATAAAGAGCTGACTATTAATAAAGGCATAGACCCTGTTCATTTCATGGAAGGCACATAAAAGTCTTCTGTGAAGGGTCAGGCTGAGAGTCATAACTCTGAAGAAAAACAGAAAGGAAGATGCAGCATCAAAGAACAGACTCGGAAGCTAGGTATGAGTATCAGCTGAGATTCTAAATGAGTTGATACACACTTAAAATAACTATGGTTTCCCATAATGGCTTTTGGGGAGAAGAAGTTACACTGGGAATTACACAATCTCACTTGTAAAAGAATTAAAGAGCTGACAGTATTTAGTGATAGACTTAAGATACAGAAGGATTATCTGTTTTTGTCAAGGTACTATTTCAAGGCGAAGCAAAGCCCACATGGAGATCTGTGTGACTTAATTCTTGAAACACAGCTTGCTTGATGAGTTAAAGCTAAGAAAGCAGAGTGTCTTGTCCTATCACTCTAGTCAGATGCTTCATCTTCAGGCTAGGTTTCAACTGGAGAGAAAAGAAATTAGTCATTTTCCAAGAATTAAAAAATCTAGCGGGTAGTATAAGGATAGGTCTTCAAATGAGAGCATGGGAAAAATTGTTAAATTAAAATATATTAATGTAACTGCAAAATAATACTGCAAAATCATTTTGCTACTAGGAAAATCACTCTAGCAGTGACCAAAATGTGCTTTTAGCCAGCTCTCAATTAATGTGGTATAAATACATAAGACAAAATGCAACATTTGACAAGAACCATATAGGCAAATCTATATATTTATATTGATATTCTACATAATGCCAAATATAATATTTCTAATTTCATTATTCAAATTATCCTCTCTGATTTAATAACTGGGTTTCGGCAAATTTTCAAGAGGTTTTTGTGTGTTGAATTGATAATTTATATGTGATAACTCACTGGTGTGGCAAATTTTGTCAAAGGCTTAATCTAAATCATGTGACTATCAAGTTGCTATCTACTTGCATGTGTTCAAGTGAGATAAGCATTCAAGTGCTGTTCTTAAGAAAAAACTTACTGTGATACAAGGTGGGCATGTTTGTGGAGCATATTCTCACTCCTCTCTTTGACTGCAGTTGCTGCTGCCCTTGTCAAATATGTTACACCAGAGGTGCTGCAACCATTGCTGGTGGGCTTGACCTTGGACAGTGGCAGATTTACCTTGGAGCTGTCTGGATCTGGCTCTGTCAGATACAGGGGAAGCTTCTGGCAGCATCTCACTTAAGCCATCCTCACAGCCCCCTACTATAAGGTCTTGCCTTGCAAAAATAATGCATTTTTGTTTTTCTTTTATTTTCTTTGTTACCTCTAAGAAAAATCAGGTTTCAGATGAAGGCTTCAGAGAAAATGTATAATTAGTTTAGTTTAGGTTGCAGGCTACTATCCCAGCTGGCCTTCAGAGGCACGGTGACATCTCCCTGTGGTGAACATGGTGTACCCACAACTTCTACATGGAAAAAACATCCCTGTGCTTGTGTCATATTTGGTTCACAGTTAACATGGGATACATGAAAAAACGTGCATGTGTGATGTTCATTTATTGCTGAAGCAACACTTTGGTAGTGGTACGGAATACTTTAACTACAGTACTAGTTAAATTATAGTTGTTTCAGGAAAAAAGTGCATTCAGACATTTAGAAAAGCCAAGCCATATGAGGTATTTCCAGGAGATGGTGCTATTCTCAAGCCTTTTGCTTGAGTCTCTGCCTCTCAGGGAAAAGACTCAGAGGATCACCATCCTTCCCCTGTTAAGATCTGTGTTTGTATCTTTTGCAATTAAAATAACAAATTTGTCAATTAATATATCAATTATTAAATTTATATGATCCCTGAATTGCATTTGAAGTGTCTGAAATCCCCTCAAGAAATGCCCTGTGCCATCAGCTAGGGGATGGAGGAGGCTTCCTGCACCCACATTCAAAGAATCAGTCTCCACTAGAAAGGGAGACTTGAGGGAAAGGCCCTCCAGGGTATTTTTAGCTTTTCTTTTACAGAAAAAAAACCTTGGGTCTTATTCTAAACAAGAAATTTAAGATCTGTAATGTGAGTCGGCCACTCAGTCTCACAGCATCACCTCTGCAGAGAGCTGCCTCCTCAGGTTCCTGTTAGTTTGCAAACGAATGCCAGTGGGAATAAATGGCTCAGAACTAGAAACCATAATGGACAGCAAAGAAAAGGGAGTTGCTGAAAATAGCCTGAAAAGGTGATGCCAGTGCAAAATAATGTCTCTTAAAACATTGCCCACATTAAGCTTTCACCACACACTGTGCTATAGGTCTTTTCTGTGCCTCCAGCATAGCTCCCGGGGTCAGGATGCACCCCTCTTTCAATGCCAAATGACTACTGCTCAAGTGAGTTACAGGCTACAGAAAAGACAGCTCCTATTCTCCGTTTTGCCTGACAATGCTAAACCTCACATATCTCCAGAAAGTATTCTAGACACCTAGTAGCCTGTTTTTCAGGAGAATAGCTGGTTTTGTATGTCAAGCAAGAATTGTGAGAGAAACTAAAACTAAAGTTAAGGGAAATCAACTGGAAATTAGAGACGCAGTTATCAAAATTGCACAGGTAGGATTTAGAGCCTGGATGCCCATTCCCAAAGATCCCAAAACATCTGGCTGTAGTCCTACATCACTCTATATCTTATTTATTTTTTGCTAGCACCATGGCTTCATATGGAGACTTAGGTAATTTTCCCCAGCTCGTCCTTCAAATTAATGGAACCTGTGTCCTGATGGCTAGAGCAAATCTGCCAGGCTCAGGGGGAAAGTGAGGTCAGGCCCCCTGATTCAAGCTGTGAAGAACACAAATGTCTTGCCTCATCCATTGCTCTGGACAGAAGAACTTCCATTTTACATGAAGGCCAATGCAGCAGGTCTCTGGGTACATGTGACAAATGGTCCTTTAAAAAAGCTAAGTGAAGAATCAGAATGAGGTTTGTGAATCTTGACAGGCTTAGTCTTCAGCTGCAAAATGATCCATGCAGCAGCAGGAACCAAGAACATCCAATGTGCTTGGGAGAACTCCTTCAGGCATCAAAGGAATTTCAATTTCAAAATTCCAGACACTGGGAGGCTCAGACAGCAGAGAAGGGGACAGGTAAAGTTTGGATAGTATTTCCTAAATCTTCTGATCTCTCAGAGACTTGTTCTTTTGGCTGTAAAAAGGAAAGTAATGTTTATCTTAGGGTTGCAAGATATGCTTGAATAATGTTCCAACTCTACCAAAGTCACTGAAATGCTCAAGTGAATGAGGTGGCAGAACTGGGTCCAAATTCTGGGTTTGGTGAGAAACAGAGCTCCAGGAGTTTCACTTGCCAGCAGCATTCAAGTTCTGAAGGGTGAACAGTATGTAGTTTCACCTAGAGATGAAAAGTCACAAGCATTAATTTTGCTAAAAGAAACGATAAATTTTAAATCCACAACTATCAAACACCAACAATTTTTTAATAATAAAAGTCTGGAAGTTTAATTCAGGATTGTATTTAAAACAGGCTAAATTATATTTTTTTTAGCTGAGATTTAGCAAGGCCCAAGCATTACAGCAAAATTCTGAAATATGCACATATAGTTCATGGGCACTTATGGCTGAGCGTTTCTGGAGTTAATAAACAAACAGAAAGTCTGGTGTTCTCATGGTCACTTTTTTCTTGTATTCACTGCATTTTTTTTTTTTGTTACTGCTTCTTTTAAATGTGTAAGACAAATTCTTGGCTTCTGTTCACCTAATTATAAAACCATACCAAAGACTTAAATACATTTTAGTTAAGGTGTGTAATCATAATTTGTCTTCTTTTGGTTTCTAGACAAATTCTTCTGGTTTTGGTACAAGGTTAGAAAAGCCCCTTTGCTCTGGGAAGATATATAAGCATACATTCCAGTTTTAAAATATATTTGAGGCTTATTGGAGTTGTGATCAAACACTTCCCTGATGATTTCAGTGAAACAATTGGGATATTCAGTTGGTTTGTGTTTTACTTACCAGGAAAGTCTGCAAAAAGAAGCTATAAACTGAACTAGTGAATCAATATTTTAGACCAGGAAGCTGCTCTGAATTACATTTTTCAGCTTTTAGAGTATTGAATTAAGCTCTAAAAATGGGGGGAAAAGTGGATCATAATAATCCATTATGAATATATTAGCCACATTACATTTTAGTCTTGTAAAAGAATAGTTTCCCCACTCAGCTGAAGTACTTAATAAAGAAAAAGAAGGATACAGAAGCATATGTTATGTTGCTCCATGACTCCTTATACCATTTGTGCATGTGCAAACAAACTAAAATATTGTTTTGTGCAATTTGTTAAACATGCATAAATTGATCCATGTAGTTGCCTCATTGACTTAAAAATAAGGACTGCATTTGGCTGTGTATCAACAACAGAGAAGTGGGTAAATGAGCAGAGTTTTGGGTTTTTTTTCCCATATTTGTAAGGAGTTTGTTGTTTATTATTGATGTAGTTAGCAGATGGAAAACATGATAGTCACAGCATGAAATCTATTTATGGTACGAAGAAGTAGTAAAAAAAAAATTAATTACTTTCTCTGTCAGTACCTCTGCAAAAATGAGAATTGTATAAAAAAATAAGATTTGCAGCAGACATCTGTTAAATCTTATATATAACATTCACATCCAAGAATTACCACTCCAGTGCTGTAAACCACAAGACTAAAGGGAACAGCTGCACCTGAACAAACTTCTCAGGTCACTCTGCACCTGGACAGTGTGGAGGTACAGGAAAGGCCTGCCCAGCTTATGGCCCCTACATCTTCCCTTCTGACCAGGAATTTTTGGCCAGTTTATGCCAATATATGTATTAGTTTAATAACTAAATAAGACTTTTATAAAAATAAGGATATACACTGATTGGTAGATATCAAGATATCTCCCTTTTATGCCAGGTACTATCCTTTATGCTGGAATATCTTAGCAAAACTGGCTGTTTTCACTGAGGATTCATAGAGGTTTAGGTTCATCATGCATTGAACTCCAATAAGTTCCTTGGAAAATTTCAGATTTTTCCACTGATAGGGGAAATAGTTTGATAAACTGCAGATTTGCAGACAAGAAAATAGATACAAAGAAAAATCCATTCAAGAAATCCACTACTCCTCTAAGCCAAGGGTAAGCTAAATGTTTGTACATCTGAATTAAATCAGAGCCAGCCAAGCTGTTAAAAAAAAAAAAAAAAAAGTCTGTATTTTTGATTATTAATCTTTATTGAGTCCTGACAGGATCCTGTTTATTAGCTACTTGACTCAAGTTTGCACATAGAGACTCAAAACTGAGCACAGACATTCCGACTAGTGCTGCATCTGTGCTAACAGTTTTTTCATGGCCTAGAAGGAAGTGCTCTTCCAAGGCCCTCCAAGTCCTGTCAGTCTGCCTTGTCAGTGCTTGTCAAGGTGGAGCCACCCCTGCCCCTAAACCCTTTGCTCCATAGGCATGGATGCTGGCACTCTCCTGTGATGGTCAGCATTTGAATGTAACGTTATGCAAGGAGATAAAGGTTTCATGAAAAGCACTCGATATTGTCAGCTTGCAATGAAATGCTGAGGTTTGGCAGCCCTGACTGCACTTGAAGCTTCCAAGACAGAGCTCCCAAAAGACCTGTACAGCTGGCTCCAAGCTCCATAAGCTTAATACAAAAAGTTGCTGTCTGACTATCTCTTGCATCAGCTGAAGCTCCAATACAGCTTCTATCAAGTCATGCAAACTACTGCATGATTGGAAAAAGTGTAGCAGAATATTATGGATGCCCTCTGGAGGCCAGAATACCTGATCCCATGATACATGTTGGAGGACTCTCAAACCACGCTTATGTAGGGTAGAAGTACCAAAAAAGTCTTTAAGCTATGGAGTATTTGTTATCCTTGTAGTTAATTGATGGAGATAAAACACTCTGAGACATAAGGATCACACGATGCCCTTCTTGGATTTTTTCATTCTGTAGAGTTTTATGGAAAGATTTGGTCGTTCTACACAAGCAGTTTGAACTGAGTCTTAATGTATGAACTACATTTCAACAACAATTTCTATTCTGCAGTAACTTTACAAATGTCACACATTTTCCCCATGTCTAGCCTACTGAAGCTGTGCAGAGCTTTTCTCTCATTAGGACCAGTAATATCATAGAAGACTGGCTCATAAAGCTCCTGTTAACCTCACTACATGAAGTTATCGCTGTATTCAGGCTGCAGGTCAGTCAGTGCTGCCGTCTGTTCAGTTTTGCTGCCACAGAAATGGCTTTAAGCCAGCAGGTGGTGGGGTCTGAGTGCAGAAGCTGTCACGCTCAGCCTGACATCAGGATGCAGGGGAAAGGGAGTCTCTGTGCCACTCCTGCCCTCTCAGAACGTAGTTTCAACAAGTTAAGCAAATTCAGCACTATGTCAAAATATCAACTTTTCTAGCTGTTTCTGTGTTTCATTGCTTTCATCTTGCACTGCAAGCTTGTGTGAAACCACACAAGCACCTTCTGACACTTTCCTAGAAAGTTAGAGCTAAACAGCTACAATTGCTCTTAATTTCATAGAACTCCTATTAGAGGTCATGTTTTATAGCAGAAAATATTTTTAACTGAGTTTGTTTTTGTGTGCTTTCTCTGATGAAAATTAAACCACAAGCCAGCTCATAATTTCTGATAAGGTGACAGAAATGGTAATGAGTGTACTGAACTCAGAAAATGAAATAGCCACTAGGGGACAGGAGAAATCCTACTATTATGGCTTACAATAAATAACATAACACAGCAAAGAGATGTCAAACCCAAATACACTGTTGTATCTCTTTGGACTATACTTCTCATTTTGTCAGGGAGCTGCCCATCAAATGTAATTATTTGGGTTGTAAAATTAAAAATTGTTTAAGATACTGCAAAAATAGGCAATAATGAATGCTACAAACCTTTACAAAAATAACTTGAAAAACTCACTGTGCTTAATTTAATCAGAGGCAAAATTCTTTCTCACTAACCACCTCTACAGAAAGAGACAAATTAGTGTAAACTAAGAAGTGCAAATTAAATTAGTGTGTAAATTCTCCGACATGGGAGCTAGAGTTGGATTTGCTGAAAATAAATCAACATTATCCAGAGAGAGGGAGAATTTTTAGTTTTTTTTAAATAGAATAATTGGAAAATATTTGTGGACTGAAGAGTTTTTAGAAGAGTCATTCCTCTAAACTATTCAGTTGTCTCATGCTGTTTTTATAGCAGTCATAATCTCCTGATAAAAATTTTCAGCAGGTTACCTGATTCTGTGTTCAGAATTGAGATGTGCTTTTATCCATCAGAGCAGAAAACCTGAAAAGGACACAGGTCCAAGAGACATGGCACAAGTGCAGTCAGAGGATCATGTTATACTCTGAACTCTCATTCTCCAGCTAATGCAAATCTGTTTGCCCGCCACTGTCCAGGCCCCTTCCTCCAGAAAGGAGTTGGTTTGGGGCTGTTCAAGGCTCTTTCCAAAGATATGCAGCGGCCAAGGTTCACATTAATTGATGAAATGTTTCATTTCCCTGTAATGAATGTTTAAACAGTGGGGGCTTTGCTAATGCCTTTTGCAACTGCCTGCTAACATAGTGCCAAGACAATACCACAAACATAGTCTGAAACCACGAGATGATAAATAATCTATTGCTGGTCTTGTTATCAGATATTGGCTTGCAATCCAATAGCTTTTACAGTTTTCCATTAGACTTCCTAGCCATTCATTTAGTTGCCCTGAAGAAGTACTGTGCACAATGGAGGAAGAGGGGTGGTCTGGTCTGGACAGTTTCTCCTTTTTTTGAAGAAATTTAGCTGCCCAGTCTCAGCAGGCATCTCTTGATGAACAACGCAGTGGAGGACACCCACCAGGCTTTGTTCAAACATGTCAGCAAAGAGAGTAAATAAACACAAGGCTTTTTTCCCACCCTAGGTTCAACACTAAAAGCATACCTGGCTCCTCCTAGTCACTAGAAGAATGTCTTAAATAAATTGTGGTAGAAAACAACAAAAAAAAGCATATTTAGTCCCGCTTTCTGATTTGGGGGCCCTTGACCTTTGATATTTCAAGTCCTCCCACAGAAGTGAGGAGGATCCACACCTGTGGAGCTTTAATCAGGACAGCAGTGAATGACTACTTTTGCTATCAGTTTAAATTATTGACACTGAAATATTCTTTAAAAAATTTTATACAGAGTGCATACTTATATGTAATCTAAATGAAATCTTAAGTTTTTCATGGAAGATGTTTAAAAAAAGATCACTTTTTCTTATAATCATAGTTGTACAGTATGAACTTAACCTTACAAGACAGATGGTAATGAGTAGGGAAGCTCTGCCAAAATCTTGATAAGACACTGATATTGAAGACATTTTTGAAGGCAGAGAATTAACAGGTACAAGAACTGCAGCTTGGCTATTTTGACACCAGGCTGTTGGAGTGAGTCCAGAGGAGGCCATCAAGCTGATTAGAGTGATGGACCATCTCTCCCATGAGGAAAGGTTCATTGGGATTATTCACCCTAGAGAAGAGAAGGGTTTGAAAGAACTTGATTGCTGCCTTCCAGTACATGAAGGGGTAACCTACAAGCAAGATGGGGCAGAATTTTTTACAAGAGCCTGCAGTGACAGCATGGTGTGCTTTAACCCCAGCCAGCTAAAACCAGTGCTCTGGATAAGAGAAAATGGCTTCAAACTGAAAAGAAGAAGTTTTAGATTAGATATTAGGAAAGAAATTCTTCACTCTGAGGGTGATGAGGCCCTGGCACAGGTTACCCAGAGAAGCTGTGAATGGCCCAGTCCCTGGCAGTGTTCTGGTTGGATGGAGCTCTGAGCAACCCAGTCAAATGAAAGGTGTCCTTGCCCGTGGCAGGGGGTTTGGAATTAGATAAAATTTAAGGTGTCTTCCAGTCCAAACCATTCTATGACTGTGATTTTCTTGACCATCTCCCTTGCTCCTGCCCCAGCAGCTCCCCAGTAGTTTGTTACTTATAAATCCCCCACACCTGTGTGAGGTGATGTGCTGCTGCTGCAAACTTATCATTACATATAATATAAGGCTTATGTCAGTGAAATGTTTGATCTTGAAAATAAAGCATAGATGCCACAGCAAGTAGTCTTTGATGTTTTCACAGAGGCACAAAGTGACACCAGAAACAGGGACAAAGATTTATCTAGAAATACTAAAAGCAAGTAACTGTTGCTAGTTTAGTGATAGGTAGGCTCTCCAACTGAATAAAAGTATATAGCAAAATATTGCCAAAAAATTCCTTGGGTCAGTACTGTTTCTCATTCAAAGAAATTGTATGGGCAATATGTTTATTGTTCTAAGAGCATCCATACAACTTGCTTTCAGTGCAATAAACGTGCATAAAGATGAAGTAAAATAATCCTTCTAACCAATTTCCATCTCATAAAAATGTGGACATTTTGTGTATAGTTTCCCACAAGGAGACAACATTCCTAAATTCCCTTGTGCTTTTGAAAACCTCTACATCATACAGAAAATAGGCATAGGAAGATTTTCTACCTCCAAGGATATTAGGCAGCTCTAATTCACTATATTTGGAAGAGGCAATGGGAGTTTAGAGGAGAAGGGGGCAACATGAACACCAAGAATTTACTGATCTACAAAATCTAACCCTACAGACACAGTCAGCAACTGGATACACCATAACCATGGGAAATGATACAAGAAGGGTGTGAAAGATCTAAAGGAAGTGAGGGGATTATGTATGGAATGAGATATTGGAAGACAAGGAGCATATATGTGCGAAGTGTAATAGAGGCTGTGGTTTGAAAATGAAACCAAGGACATTAGAAAACTCTGGCTATGCTCCTCCTGCTGAACACAAGACCTTAAGCTCTCCTGCAACAATGAACATTGACAGCATTCTTCCTGTTTTTTCAAGATATTTATGCTGAGAGCTTTTCCTCGTAAGACAAGCAAATTCCTGGAAGACAGACTCTAGAGTAAACTTCTAATGAATTATTTTCCACATGTGAACACTACTGAATTTTGAACTGTTCAGGATTAATTTACCTTCACTGTGAACATCATGATCTATAGTTAAGATGCTCTAAGAAGTTCCTAGCAACCAGTCTCATTTGATCAATGGAGCATCATTCCTTTGTTATGGTGCTGAAGATTTTACTGTACATATGAGTCAACTATTAGGCCTTGCTCTTAAAAAAAAATCAATAAAGAGAATGACCATCATTGTGGTAAAAGACTCAATTCTAAATACAAGGATTCTACAAGCAAAATACATCCTAACTCAATTTTCTTTCAAGTTAACTTTGGGGTTACCTATTTCATTTATCAACTGTTTCTTTATAGTTAATATAGTATGAATGGTACTAGAAAAGACTTGAAGTGTCAGAAAAATGTTTAAATTTTTAAGTAGAATATCTCAAGATATTTTAGCCTATAAAGAGAGTGTAAAGCCCAGAAATGCTTTCCTTTAGGCTTTGATTTTCTTATACAGAAGAAAATTGACAGAAGATCTCTCCCATTAACATATGAGATACAGTCAGGCATATGACAATGGTTCATGCATTCCTTTTCCTGTGTTTTTCTCTGTATCAGCTTCCAAAATTTTACTTGAAATTTCCTGTCTTCTAATCTAATCTAATCTAATCTAATCTAATCTAATCTAATCTAATCTAATCTAATCTAATTTTACTTGAAATTTCCTGTCTTCTCATCTTCTCGTCTGAAAGCCATTCAAACTCTCAGTAGAAAAGTTCATTTAAAAAATTCATCTTTGTCTTTTACCTTCATGGCAAAACTTATGTCAGGTGATCATACCAGAGAAACTTTTCTGCAGAATCAAAGAAAAAGGAGACTTTATTTATATTTTTAAAACTCTTATCCTAAACTTCAATCAAAAGCACAGATTCAAAAATTATTATGTGATCTCTTCTACAATACAAGGTTCCACAAATTGCTAACAACACAAAAACTCCTCACTTAATTATAGCTTGTTTTTCAAATAAATTCCTATCTCAGTTTGAACCACAGATGGGTATAAAAAATTCCATGGGGAGATAAAAGGATTACATTAAGTCCATTTAACAGTTAATTGTACTAAACTGCAAGCCATCAGTCCTCCCTTCTCTTTCCTCTCCTGCTTCCTAGAATGTCTTTGATGGTCACTTTCAACCCTTGTCACAAGTTGGCTGTTAAACCCTTACCCTGCTCCAGTTAGATAAGTTTGATAATGCCAATCTAATTTCTATCACATTACTTGTACTGCAGGTCCTTATTGCATTGTTTTTATTAAACAACATATGAAACCTCCTTATGAAGAGAGTTCATTTCCCTAGAAACCTGACCTAGAATCTTTAAAGGTATATGATTCATTTTCTGCCTCTCTGCAGTTTCAAAATTAATTTTTTAATGTACTCAAGATTTGAATGATTATTCAATAGAGGTCAGTCTGTCCCAGTGTCTGAATAGTAGTTCTTGCAATATATTGAAAATTGTTGATTAAAAAGGACTACAGAAGGAAGGCTTCTGTTAAACATTTTGCAATAATTGAGTATTATCTCTATTTCAAATGGACTTAGTATTTTATTATTACTTATCTTTTTATAAAGCTTATTCTGTTAAATTGTGATTAAAAGGTCATTGATATCACACTGGATGTATCCATGCTCAGGAAGCACAGTTGTGCTATCTGTGTTCAAGAACAACTTCTGCACATACTTTGGTTGAAGAGAAATTGAATTAATGAAAATAATCCAAAAACAAACAGAGGAGTAACATCCAGACAGTCTAGGTAGTTTTCCCCTCTTTGTGGCACAGTTGCAGGCCTTCTAATACAATTGCCAAGAATCTAATTTCTTTTACCCTGGTCATTTACAGCTTTCATGATTGAATTTTAAAGGCAGATGAAAGATTTAGATACAGACAACCTTATGTTCTGACCATAAATCCCGCAAAGGCTTCTGATGTCTCCATGCATGCAGTTTCTCTATGTCTGAAATGATGGGCCAGTGAATCAGAGCATCAGGGAACATCAGGTCAGCAGTGAGTCCCCAGACATACTGTAGTCCCTAGTGTAGTGTGTATGTAGTATCTAGTTCCTGATAGCCAGTTCCTTACCTCTGACTCATTTTTGGAGGCTGACTACCTACCTCCTATCTTATTGAATAATGCCGAAATACTGGATTCGCAAAGATATCTGTCTCCTAGGTCATTCTGTCTGGCCACGACATCTGTGGATGTATTTCCTAGAAGGGGCATGTCACCTTTTTCAGTAGAGGACGTTGACCTGATATATGAATGTATTGGGAGAGAAGGGTACAAGAGCCCTCTTCCCTATTCAGGGAGATCACAGAAGAGTGTAAGATCAGAGGAGACTGTCAGAGCCAGCCACACATGAGCACATTTATGAGGCAATTCACTCAGAAGAACTACACCTATCAGAAAATCACTATGTCCATTCCCAGAAAGTTCTAGACACAGCCTAACACTTGTCAAAAGCATAATCATGTAAAAGTCAACAGGGCTTAATCTCACACTGACATCTTGGTTTAATGCTAATAGCTCAGAGAATAGATTATCAGCATCTTGGTACTCCTAATCTCACAACAACTCACAAAGTGGGTAATGTGTTTTTAAAATGTGTATTTAAAAATAAATACATTGAGATGCTGGCATGCTGGCTTTTGCCCACAGTGGATTGTACCATGGTTTACAGAATGACAGCATGGTTAGGATTGGGAGGGGCCTTTTGAGGTCATCTTGCCCGGACTCTCTGCTCAGACAGGACCACCTATAGCCAGGAGCTCAGGATCACATTCAGTTAGCTCTCCACTATTTCCAAGAATAGAAACTCCACAACCTTTCTGAGCAACTTCTGTTAGTGCTCTAGCACTTTCACAAGAAAAATGTGTTTCCTATTCAGATAGATTTAGAAAGTCTAGTGAATCCTGTGTTTCAATTTGTAAATACTCTCTTGGTGAATCCATTCTGAGCACTCCTGATGATTTTCTTGTTCTTCATGTGCTTGAAAATGGTTTCCAGAACTATCTGTTCTATCACCATTCCAGGAATCAAGAGGAGGTTAACCAACCTGTAGTTTTTATTTCTACTGATATCATAGGACCTCAGTGACTTCAACAGGCTTTAGTTCAAGTCATAAAGAAAATGATAATAGACCCAGAAACCTTACCTTTTACTGCAAGCCCCCAAATATATCTGTTAATATTAGTGACTTACACTGAGCCAAGTAGTTGCCTTCTGACACAGGACAAGTAGACCATTTGCTTGGACAGCTGAGTAGTGAAGTGTCTTCCAGCATCACCTCTGAGGAAAACAAACAAAAATATACTAAATAGTCTTATTACAAAAAGGCACAAGTATCTCTTACCAAAAGAGCAAACCTGCTACACTACAAATTCAGAGGCATTTTCATAGCTCTCTGGCTACTACTTAAATTGAGATGTTTCTCTCCAAAGTACAAAATATGCTCTCTGGATCTGACTGGCTTTCTGTTTACTGGGAGATTTTTTGTCTGATTTCATACAATCTCTCACTTGCACTTCCTCCTCCATTTTCCTAGCCCTGCAGTGAACAGACACTCTCACTGTCATATCCTTTTCCAAGCCTTCTGGTATTCAGCCACTTTTTGTTCAAATCTCATCTAACTGCATTATTTTTTAAATATAAAAGGGAAAAATCTATTTCCTTTGCATTGCATTTATTTCTTGACTACATGCAGCATTCCAACTTGCACATCACATCTACAATCCCTTCTGGGTTGTGTGACAGGGAACAGATACTAAATATAGAAATTAAAGAGCTTCCATTGCTAATCTAGATAGAATTAAAATTTTAATATTGGAGTTGAATATCTAATGTGGCATTCAATCAGTATACTAATGGAACCATATTTCAAAATATGCAACAGAAAATAGAGCATTTAATATTTTCCACCTCAGAGTTTTTCTTTTAGCATCTTATCAGTTTTTGCATAGGTGCTTGTAATTCCCTTCATACACCTTAACAGACAAAATGGTTTTAATCTACAGGAAGGCTTGGCCACAGCCCAGATGAAGATGTGCTGCTGGGTCTCTTTTGGCATTTACAACATCTGGCACAGGCCCCCAGTGGCTGAAAATTGGCTTGGGAGACTCTGTAAAGCAAAACTGTTGCCAAGCCAGCAGCAGGTTGCTGCCTGGCATGAGCTACTCTGTGCTGATTTAAATCCAAATCTCCTCAGAACAGCTGTGCTGTGTTGAGAAATCTTTCTCCTGCGTGGATGCTGTCAATGATGTGTTCTTGCACACACATCCTGCTGCAACCCACAGTTTAAATATCAGAAGACCTTGTACCACCTCAGGAGTGCTTGAAGCCCCATGACCCCCAACTGGGGAGATGCCTTCTGCATCCTTTTCCATGGATGCTGTTTGTCTCCTTCTTTATCTTGCATATCTCCACACTTTGGGAGCACCCTCTCATCTTGTCAGCATCTGGAGGCTCTCAGCTCCCCTTAGTGCTGGGGAGCAGCTGGGCAGAGCAGAAGGTTTGGGTGAACCTGCCACCTCCAGGGGCCAAGGGGCTGGAAGCAACTCTCTCCTAAAGGTTTCATGAACTACCCTCCATTAGCACACTGCAAGTATTGGTGCACAAATCTGGAAATATCACATCATTTCCATACCCCATTCCTGTATGTCTTTCAGGGCTTCACTGCAGTTCAGCTAATGGACACATTTGAGTTCTCCAAGCAGGCTGTGTTCCTCACAGTACCAAAGCTCCCAGATTATCTTGTCATAATATTGCTAATGGCAAAGGCTTGCAAAGCTGTCTCTGAAATATATTCCTGCACCCAGATGCCTTAATAATTCATAAAGTCAGCAAATCACAGTGTTGGCACAAAGATATTTTAATGTTAAGCTGCTGTAAGTTTGGACCAGATACATTCTGCTGAGTCCAACAAAAAGCAATTGCAATAATGTGAGAAGACAGTTGAAATATTCAGTACATTTAGAAAGACAGTTGGAAACCCAAATATTTAACAATTTATGCATTGTTTTTGCAGATACTTAAGAAGGAGTTGATTTGTCTGAACTTAAAACTAAGCTACTAATAAGGTCAAAACCAAGTTATGTATTTACAATACATAGCACAGTGTAATGTAAGAGAGCAAACCCCTCAAAAGTACTATATGCATTTCTTTCACAACATGCTGTATAATTGTAAAGTAATTCCTCACATCTGCTTCTAGTCACACCAGGCACATGGCACAGGAGATAGAAATGAATGCAGGAAAAAATATCCAGTTGAATAAATTCATATAATTTTGCCCCTACAGGAAAAAGGCAGTCACAAGCAGTCAGCTGTGGGGTAGAACACAGCAGGTTCCAATAGCACTGACAAATACCACACTGTCAGAGTCTATGACATCCCTCTGGCTGCCCTGGCTGTCTTGAGGCCCTGGCAGGGGGCTCAGAGACCCTGGCAAGGAGTCAAAAACACCTGTGGCTTCGATTTTAGCCCGTGGGAGAGGCTGCCAACTCTATATGAGAAATTACAAGCCAAAAGGGTTTGAGTAGTGTAATAGTAGAATTTTGGGGGTTTTAGAATGTAATTCAAGGGCACAAGGTGGAGGAATATGGGCTTGTCCTAGCCTTCTTTCCATTCTTCTTGTCCTCCATGTCTTGGTGTGGTGGTGACACTTTTCTATTGGTTTAGGATAGGGACACTCTGTCCAACATAGATGTTAGATATTGGTGCATTATTATAAACAGACAATATGTAACTTTTGATATAAAAGGTAAACACTACCCAGAGGACACACCAGACTGCCATGGCTTCTGCACTAGGAGGACTTTGGCAGGTCAGAGAGGAAATATTATAGATAAAGAGAAATAAACAACCTTGAAAACTCAGCTTCACATATCCTAGACCACTTCTTTGGCTGCCAGGCTAGGGAATCAAGGACTTTCACACTGTTGGGGTCTCACCAGCTGACCCTGACATCACGTGTGTGCTTTGGGATGGAGGAGACCTGTCTGATACAAGAGACATAGAGCAGAAATCGCCACAACTATGTGCTTAGTCTGTATGGCCATCTGCAGCAGGAGTAGTTTTCAAGCTTGTCAAGCTTTTCTTCATTTCAGAGGAACCCAGAATATGTGAGCAAAGAAAACATAGAAAGCATAGAAAATATTCACATATTTTGTGAATAAGAAAAATGGCATTGAAGCAAATAGAAAAATAGCGAGTCCTAGACTGAAAGGATCATAGCTGGAGTAATAAAAATAAGCTGGTAATATGAAACACAGCACACTTGTACTGGTTTTGGCTGGAATAAGGTCAATGTCTTTCATAGTAAAAGAATTTTGGCGGGGTTAAACCACAACAACACTGCAAGATTAGAGTTTTATTAAAACCTAACAGCCATAAGGTAAGGAAATTACAGATTCATAAGCACTATCTTTGTCTACTTTCACTTACTTCCAAACCAGTCATTATGACATTTCCCATCTATGTTTCTAAGAGCCAAAGGCATTTTATATAGACCACAAAGTTTTGTCTGTATCTCCCATTATGACTTCATACCAGCCCATCTCCAGTTTCCTTTGCTAGGCACCTCCTATCATTAATACTGTCTTCCAGATATTGGTTTCACTTTTCTCTATACCAAATCCATCCCAGAGGGCTATCCAGCAACTACTCTTTCACTAACAAAACTAAATGTTAAATTATCCAGCTGGTTGACTTTTACCTTCTAACTGCGAATTTGAGGTTTCATATTTGGAATTTGAAAGTAAAAAATTTCACAGCCTGGAGCTGAGAAACACCAAGTGAATATCAGATGAATGAAAAAAAGTAGAAAGGTGTTTCATCTAGATTAGAGAGAATTTTCCAACCACCAGTGATGAGCTGCAGCACCTCAGTACATATATGCCTTTCAAAGAGAAGTACATTTAAGTTCTAATGCTAAAATAACTTGTGCACATAGATACCAACATAACAAAGCAGAAGTCTGTAATGGAGCTTAAAGCATGCCTTGACAAAGTCCCAGTAGAACATAAACATTCTTTGGAAAGGCAACATTGACTATATGCTGTTGAAATCAGAGGATCATTTCTTCAATACAGATGCAAGCCCTTATATGCACACAATACAGGTCAATGGCTTTGTGCACTGTACTGTGCACTGCACCCTCTGAGAAGCTCAGGCTTAACCTATCATTCTGCCTCAAGCCCTGGCTTGCCTGGCATCAGCATCACTCCCTTCCCAAACTCCCACAGCGATGAGCTGAGGGAAGAGTCTGTATCCAGACTCAGAGGCAATTTCTCCATGGATGCAGTTCTGCCTCCGTCTGATCTTCATAAATGTTGGTCCTTGAAATGAGGTAGGGGTAGAGGAGCTGTGCAGCCAGGTGTCTGGAGTGCCCATCAAGCTGGGGCTGTGGTGCAGCCAGTCATGCAGTGTCAGCCCTGGCTGCTCCTGCAGCCCATGCCCCAGGGCAAGGCATGCACGGCTGCTGCCTGCACAGGAGCAGGGCTGATGGTGCTGCTGCAGAGCACACAGCTGCACCTCTCTGCCACGGTGAGGCCACCAAACCTCACAGTCCTGTCATCAAGGAGCAAATATTTCAGAGGAAAATTTGATTTCATCAGCTTCACACACATTTGAAAGCTGATTTTTACCACTGTACTGCAGTGCTGGCTTCTTGCTCATGTTGTCTAGATCTGGTTTACATCAAGTTCAGTGAAGGCCTCTTCACTGAACTCAACAGCTCTGCTTCTCTGCTTCACAACTCTCACAACCACCACCACATTTCTGATTGCAGAGCGCTGTATTCCAGCTTTGTGTTTGATCTTGTGTCTCTGTCTTGCCTGATCTCCACAGCTATAGCACCCTGCTGCTCACAGCTAACCGGTCCCCTTTTTAGTACAAGTGATAGATGTCTGCCTTTCGAAGCTGATTATTTCCCAGCTGCTGCGCTTTACTGCATGCAAGGAGTTAGTTAGGAGAGCAAGTGAGGAGTTGTATTTTATGAGAAAAATTATTTTTCATTTAACTTAGTCATAGAGGTAGTTAGACTAGATGCACAAAAAGACCAAGTAACCTATATAAAATAACAATAATTTAAGTTCAAGATCTATTTCCCAGATCACTACCCAGAGTGAAGAGGATAAAAAGGAAGATTTAGACAGATACTCAGCCCTAGAAACCTCTGTGCCAGTCTCCTGACGATGAGGGACACAGACACCAGAGAGAAAAAGAAAAGAACTAATAAAACACAGTTTTATCTTGTCCTGCTGTCTTTTTAGAAAAAATG